TTGTGGTTTTTCCCTTTTGATCCCCTTTTTGATTCTTCTTTCACAAAACGTGCAAATATGTTTAACATGATTTTACATGTATAACTTATATCAAATTGCTTGCTATCTTGTGGATGGGGGAAGGGGGAAAACTTGGAACTCAAAATTTTACAAAAATTAATGTTGAAAACTATCTTTATACCTAATTGGGAAAAAATAAAATATTATTAAGGGGAAAAAAAGAAAAATTAATTAAAAAGAAAGGCTCTCCTCTGACCTCACCTGAAACTTTGTATCTCTCTCTCTTTTTTTTTAAGGCAATTGGGGTTAAGTGGCTTCCCCAGGATCTCACAGCTAGTAAGTGTCAAGTGTTTGGTATTTGAAGCTGATTTGAACTCAGGTCCTCCTGACTCTAGGGCCTATCCACTGTGCCACCTTAGCTGCCCCAAACTTTGTATCTCTTTACTAGGGAACATTTTGCATCAAAGTTACATCAAATGAGCTAATATACATAAAGCACTTTGCAATCCTGTAAGTGCTATATAAATGTTAGTTATTGTTATTATTGGAGACAGCTAATGTTTAAGTGGATAGAGTACTGAGCCTGGAGTGTGGATCTGAGTTTGAATGTGATCTAAGACACGTACTAGCTGTGTGACCCTGGGCAAATCATTTAACTTCTGTTTACCTTAATCTCCTGAAGAAAGAAATAGCAAACCACTCTAGGATCTTTGCCAGGAAAATTCCATAAACACCATGGTCCATGGGGTCATGCAGAGTTGGGCACGACTGAATAACATTGTTATTATTATTACTTTTATTATTATCTGTGGTTTTCTTTTCCTCACTTCTCTGCAGCCTTTGACACTGTTGGTGACCATTTCCTCCTAGATACTCTCTCCTCCCTGGTTTTTATGACACTGTTCTGTTCTAGTTCTCCTCTTAGCTGTCTAGCTACTTCTAGGTCTTCTTTGTCAGATTTTCCTCCAATTCGAGCTCACTCACTATTTTCTCTTCTCTTACTTTCTCACTTGATGATCTCATCAGTTTCCAAGAGTTCAATTATCATCTCTATGCAAATGACTTTTAGATCTATCCAGTCCTGAGCTCTCTCCTGAACTCCAGTCTGGATTCACCAACCCTGTGTTCAGGGAGGCCTAGCACCTTCTCTGAGAGGGTTGCCAAGCCCTTTTCAGGGCTGCTCATCCACCTTTGGTGTCCACCTGGCATTCAACTCTCACCTGTGCCTCCAAAAAGCTGTAGCATGCACAGCAGCCACACCCCAGTAAAACTCTCTTGGCAGATGGCCTAAACGAGGTTGAGGGTGACTGACAGGCCTCAAACTCATCAGTGAGTTGGGGGGATGTCTACCCCAAGCACATGAAGACTTCCCCTGGTGGAATGGGTGGATGAAAATAATTTGTTCCAAAGGCCATGAAGGAGGCACTGTGGAGCACTTAGAGCTCAATCGACATTGAAATGCCAAGGTCACCCACTGCATCCCAGGCAATCATCAGTCATCCTGACTTTTGTCCTACCATTGGACTTTGATGACTCTGAGAGAGTGAGGCTGATGACTCTGTACAACTCTGCCTCACTTATATCTAATTCATGCACAAGTCAAGACATCACCCCATGACGTCATCTGTCTTCTTTGAAAACAGATGAACAACTGGAAATCTACTGGATGTCCCTTAAACATCCAAAAATCTGTGTCCAAAATCTTTCACTCCAAAACCCTTCCTCTTCTAAATTTCCCTATTACTATCAAGGACAGCACCATTCTCCTGGTCATCTATGCATGCAACCTTAGAGCCATCTTCATTTCCTCACTCCACATCTCCAAGGTGCTGTCTTGACAATTCTACCTATACAATATTTCTCCTGTACGTCTCCTTCTCCCTTCTGACTGTCACCACTCTAGTGCAGAACCTCATCACCTCACCCCAGGACCAGTGCAATAGGCTGTGGTGGGTCTGCCTGCATCATCTTTTCACACTCCAATCCATCTTCCATTCAGCCACCACAGTGATTTTCCTGAACTGTGGGTCCAACCATGTTATCACCATCCCCTTCAATACCCACTGCATATAAATTCCAATGGCTCCCTTTTATCTCTAGGATTAGATCCTGTTTGGCTTTTGAAGCCCTTTATAACTAGGTCCCTTCCATCTTCTTACTCTTTCCTTCTTTCCACATATGCTCTAATCTAGCCACACTAGCCTCCTTGCTGTCCCTCATAGGACACTGCGCCTTGATTATTTCAGAGATCTCTGACCTTTCCCAAAAATTTACCCTACCCAGACCATCTTATCTAGGTGGAGTTGTTGCCTCACCCAACTAGAAAACCTTACAAAGAATTTAATGTAAGATGAATTCCAGCCCAATGTGTTCCACTCAGGCAGATTTTGGCAGAGGGGGCAGATTTTTTGTCTAGATTGCCCAAGGCTGGGGGTGATTTGGAATAATTAACATGATCTAAAGAATAGATCCACCTCTCATTATAATATTCATTCTCTCTGATTATTTGTTAACCAATCAGAGTAGATTGCCACCCTCAGAACACCCACTCTTCCAAGGGTATATAAGCATTGAATGGATTCCATGAGGGGGTCTTTGGCATTTCAGTGTCACTGACCCTTTGTATTAATTATATTGTAGCATGATTAATAAAGTGATTAATTACCCAGAAACTATGTCTCAGATTTTTTGTACTGTCACAACTCTATACCTTATTGCTGGTTATCTCACTTGTGTAGAACACTCTCCTTCCTCACCTCCATCCCGTGGCCTCCCTTCAAGATGTAGTTCAAATTCCACCTTTGGCAAGAGGCCTTTCCTCATGTGCCCCTCTCTCTTTTCTCCCTATCTAGTGCCTTCCCTCTGAGGTCACCTTTATTTATCCTGTATGTATATTCTACCTGTTTGCATGTTGCCTTATCCATTGAGGTAGGAGCTCTCGGAGTTCAGAACAGTGAGTTTACCTTTCTTTCTGTCCTCAGCATTTAGCACATAGAAGCCTTAATAAATCTTTGTCTCTTCTTCTCCTTCCATAAAGACAGGAGACTGTCTCTAGTCTAAACTCTATCTGTCCTAGCCCACTGCTTTGTACACAACAGTCAACGAATGTTCTTTTCATTCTCCTACCTCTTTCACTTAGTAGCCAGAGGCAAGCCATTTACTTTGTCTGGGCCTCTGTTAGGTCTTCAGTAACACAAGAAGTTGGACTAGATAATCTCTGAAGTCCAGCATGCAATCTTCAACAAAGTTACATCATTTAGATTTGGGATTTTACTGTACTACACCTTCTTCTCCAATGTTCTGGTCCCAGCTCTCATTCACAGACGCAAAAGGATTTAACAGGGTATTGGGGGCGGTGTATCCCTGGCCCTCTTGGGTTGGCCCAGGTGCCTCTTCCTCCAACTCTTGAGTCTGGAATTGGGCTAAGCTTTCAAGGGGTACTCTTTCCCTAGCTTTTTCCAATTGTGATTTCATATTATGGTTCATACAGTTTATAATCTAGGAACACCTCTCTCCTTCCCCCTCCCATACTTTTCACTTTTCACATTAACTAGAGGCAGCTAGATGGACAGTAGAATCTGAGCCTGGAATCAGAGAGGTCCGAGTTCAAATTTGCTTTCAGACTTTGTGTGACCCTGGGCCATTCACTTATCATCTGTTTGCCTCTGTTCTTTCAACTATAAATGGGTATAATAGCACCTACTTCCCAGGGTTATTCTAAGATCAAATGAGATAATATCTATTTTTTAAAAAAAGTCCTTAGCACAGCCCTAGTCCATAATAGGCACTATACACATGTCTATCCCCTTCCCTTAAGTACTCTGGTGTAGTCTCTGACCCTGCCCCATCCCCAAATTCCTGGACTTGTTATTTTTGGAAACTTAGCTTAGAACTTCCATTCTTTCATATGAAATTCTTAAGTATTAGATTTGGCCAATCATCCCAAACTTGAAAGATCTTTTTGGATCCTGCCATTTTTTTTCATACCTTAGTTATCACTCATGTCCCAAAGGTACTAGTATCTGGCTGGTATAGCCATCTGTTACCCCAGTTACTGGAGACCCTCCCTCAAATTATTTTGTGCTTACTTAACATGTATACATATAGTTTATGTCCATAGAATGTCCACTGTATTTGTCTCCCCAGTGGCTGACATTCCCTTCCACTAGTACTCTGTGATCAGAAGCATACTGGCCTTCTTACTGCTCCTTCCTTCAGAACATTCTATCTCCTGACTCAAAATTATCTCCTGATTCTGCACCTTTGCAATGGCTCTTCCTCAAGCCTGGAATGCTTTGCTCCCTCTACTCCTGGCTTTCCTGTCCTTCAAGACTCAGCTCAAATCCCACCTTCTGCAGGAGGCCCTTCCTGGTCCTCCCTACTTCTAGTTCCTTCCCTGAGACTACCTTTAATTTACACAGTATATATATCTTGCAACAGATAATTTTTGGCTTGATGCGTCTCCATCAGAGGGTGAGCTTCTTAAAGGGAAGAGGCCATATTGTTGCTTTTCTGTGCATCCCAAGCGCTTTGCAGTGTCTGGTCACGTAGTAAAGTACTTAATTAATGTTTGCTGACTGACTGACAGAGCAGGCACTTAAGGAAGGCTGTCAGATTTAACTGCATACCACATTATAAAATCAACTACCATTTCTATAGATGGTCCTTCACGGCTGACTCAATGGTTTCCCTACAATAAGGGGGGGGGGGGCGGGCATTGTCAGAACTGTCTCTCATTTTTCAGACGGTCAATTACCGTATCACCCTGGATCGAGAGTTTTACGGGACCGTGGAGGGTACCCAGTCCAACTGCCTTATTTTACAGGTGAGGAAACTGAGGATCAGAGAGACAAAGCGACTTGTCCGAGGTCACACAGCTTTGAGTCAAAGAGGCTGGATTTTAAACCAAACTGATCCTCTGCCCTCGAGCCAATGGTCTTTAAAGCGAGCCGAGCGCCAGGACCGTCGGCAGGGGATCTGCACTCGAAGTCCGCGCCCCATTGAAGACCGTCCGTGGGCTGAGCCCCAGGGACCGGAAGCTAGAAGCTGCTGCGGCGCAGGGGCCGCTAGGAAATGTAGTCTGGGCAGGAGGGGGCGCAGCAGCCGGAGTGACAGGACGTTATTTCCAATCCCAGCCTTGCCACCACTTAGCTGGGAGGCCTCCAACAAGTCCCTCTGCTTCTCTGGGCTTCAGTCTCCTCCTCTGTAAAAACGAAGGGGTTGGACTAGATGGCTTCTGACCTCCTTCCACCGTGACCCTGTCGGTGTCTGAAAGGGCTAAAGGCCGGAAGTGAGGGCCGCCGGAAAGCGGAGATAGAAACAGGAAGTAGTAGGGGCCGCCGGGAGGTGTAGTCGAGGTAGGTTAGAAGAAGCTACAACAAGCATGGCGGGCCTGGAGCTGCTGTCGGATCAGGGTTACCGCGTGGACGGGCGACGAGCTGGAGAGCTGCGCAAGATCCAAGCACGGATGGGGGTCTTCGCGCAGGCCGATGGTTCGGCCTACATCGAACAAGGCAACACTAAAGCGCTGGCCGTGGTCTACGGACCCCACGAGGTGCGAGGCGACTTCAGGATGCTTGTCGGGAGGGAGAAGAGGGCAGTAACCGCACGGGGTCCCGGACCAATCGCAGCCTTCCTTGAAAAAGAGCTCCCTCTGCATTGGGAAGGGGGCGTGACCTCAAGGGGTCCCGGACCAATCGCAACCTTCCTTGTGAAAGGGGAGTTGCTGCGGGGGCAAGAGGGAGGTGCGGTTCTTTAGGGAAGAAAACTGGGATGGAGAGTTGAGGCTGCGGGATTTTACAATGATGTAATTTCTGAATCTGATCTCCACCCCCACCTCCTCACCCACATTCACCACAGACTGCTGCGCCCTACTCTGAGAGACCAGAGAAAGCCTGCGGGCATTTATTAAGCTCTTATTGTGTGCTGGGCTACTTGGTGAGTGCAAGGAATACAAAGAAAGGCCAAAAACAAAACAAAAACAAAAAGCCAAAAAAACCAGACTCTGCCTTCAAGGGGCTTACGTTCTAATGGGCAGGACAACACGTTAAATTTAAACCACAGCCTAGATACTAGAGTAGACATAGAGAACTGGAAGGAGCTTCTGTTGCAGGTGTAGGGACAGACCACTCTAGCGGTGAGGGGCGAGTGCAAAATAGGCCATTTCAGCTGCATCCTAACGTGAATGGAGAGGCATCTCGTGTAAGAAGGCTAGAAAGGCAGGAAGGGGCCAAGTTGTAAAGGGCTTCAAATGCCAAAAAGAGAGTTTTCTATTTGATCCTGGGTTCCTTTGAGATTAGCTCAAGTTCCACATTCTCTTTGGACTGGCTCCCTGGCCCTAGGCATCCATTTCCTTTTCCCATTCTCCCAACCCAGCACCTTCCCTCGGAGATTACCTCTGTTATATACTGTGTATATCTTGTATGAACATAGTTGTTTGCACATTATGTACACCATTAGACTGTGAGGACAGAGAGGGACCAGGTATATGCAAAGTGGGTGGCATATAGTAAACATTTAATTAGTGCTTATTAACTGGTCCCGGAGGGCCATTGAAACACATTGAGCAGAAAGTTAACATGGTCAAATCTAATGCTTTGGGAAGTCTCCCTTTCTAGGAAAGTTTTTCTAATAGTCCTCATGTTGCACTTTAGGTGTTTAGAGGCGCTGGGACCCCAAAATCACATCACAGGTCAACCCAAGCCTTCTTTCAGCCAAAGACAAGGTTTATTAGAAGGTCAGTCATATTGGGCAGACTCTTAAGGAGTCTGAACATTAGTAAGCTATTGGCTAGATTATAAGAATCTAAGCATCTTAATGAAGACAAAATGGACCTTATATACAGAAAGACTATGGGAGGGATGGAGGAATGGCTAAGTAGTCTGTAAGGTAATAGAACACCAAGGGTAGCTGAGGGAGAATAGAGCCTAGATAGGATTAAGGGTGGGAAATGGCCCAAGGACATGGGATTGTAGCCTCAGGCTAATGCCAGAGATTTGGCCTTGTGGGAGAGTCCAGGGTTTTTCTTTTTTGGGGTCTAGATCCCATCCTCATCACTCAAACTGCTTACCTCCCTTGGAAGCCATGAGGACAGGCAGAATAGATATGAGAGCTGTATAATTATTATATATGCCATTGGGCTGAACCTGTGATTTCCTTGGTATATGGGACTCCCAGCAAGGAAACTCTCATTATCAATACAGATCTAAGCCTGCTCTGCACCTTACCGTACCTGCTGCCAGTGATTTTCCTTAAGGGCAAATCTGACTACTCAGTAAACTTCAGGCAGCTAGGTAACACAGTGGATAGAGTTCTGGGTCTGGACTCAGACCTAACACTAGCTGTGTGACCCTGGGAAAGTTACCCTCAGTTTCCTTAGCTGTAAATTGAGGATCATAATAATACTATACCTACGTTCCAGGGTTGTTGTAAGGATTAAATGAGATAATATTTGTAAAAAAGCACTTAGTGTTGTCCCTGGCACGTAATAGGCACTATTTACTGTTGTAGTTCAGTTGTGTCTGACTCTTCATGACTCCATTTGGGTTTTTTTTGGCAGAGATACTGGAGTGGTTTGCCATTTCCATCTCCACCTCTTTTTACTGATGAGGAAACCGAGGCCAGCAGGGTTAAGTGACTTGCCCAGGGTCACACAGCTAAGAAGTGTCTGAGGCTGGATTTGAACTCCAGTCTTCCAGACCCCAGGCCTGGCACTCTAATCCACTTTGCCACCTAGCTGTCTCACACAGCTCCCTTCCCCCATCTCCCTTCCCTCAGTTTTTGATCTAGCCAACCCCCATGCCTTAAATGACTCTCTCCTCACCTCCACCCCCAAAATGTCCAACTCCCTTCAAGACTCTGCTCAAGCAGCATCTTTTCTTTGAAACCTTTCTTGATCCCCCTCACTGCTAGTGCCCTCTTTCCCTTCTTTGTATTTATTCTGCATATACTTAGATTCACTTGTTACCTCCCCTGATAAATGACTGCTAACTGATTAAAGAGTTGTCTGGGGCATGGTGACTTTAAGGGTCTTGCCCTGGTCAGTCGGTCAGCCAATAAACATTAAACTCTAGAAGGGTTTAATTGCCTAGAAGTCAATTGACCAAAAATTTTGCTTGGTCTTTCAAGGTATTCTTAAATTCCTGTCTTTCTCATATAAGCATCTACTATGTGCCAGGGACTATACTAAGCATTAAGGATACAAAGAAAGGTAAAAGACTAGACAACATGCAATTATGTACAAACAACATATAAACATAAATTAGATTTAGTCAGTAGAGGGAAGGCACTGGCATTAAAGGAGATTGGAAAAAGATTTCTTGTAGAAGGTAGAGCATTAGCTGAGTCTTCAAAGAAGTCAGGAGGTCCCAGAGCCAGTATATGTGGGAGATGGGATTTGACCTCAGGTCTTCCTCACTTTGAGGAATCAGGTGAAAATTTCCCAGCGTGGTCCTCTGGAAAAAGTAGGGGCAATGAAATAAGAACTGTCAGTTGAACTTCACTTTCACCAGCTGGTCTCATCTCCAGTCTATGCCTCCTGTGTGTCTGCACCTGCCATGTGTCTGCTCACATATTGACCTCCCCCGTCTGGGCCCCCAGAATTTAGGCAGAAGTTCCTTCCTCAAGGCTACTGGAACCCCAAAACAGGAACAATCTGGCCCAAAGATGATCTTTCATCCCAGAAAATGTGTGTGTGTATGTGTTCGCAAGAGTGTGTTCGTGTGTTTACACACACACATATACACACCCCATAGGGATGGGGGTTAATATATGATAAGAGATATAATAATTACCCCCTACTCCCTGACAAAGTCAGACCCTTCCGACCTCAGAAGACAAGCTCTGCTCACAGATGCTGAGACCTCCCTGGAGGGAATCATTCTGTGGAACTCATGGCCCTAGATTGGCTCATCTTCTCAGCCCCTTCTAACCCCTTTCTGTAAACAGAAGCAGAAGGGGAAAAGGATAAAGAGAACCCACTGAGGAAGGGTGTAAGGAGGAATCTCAGGTACTTCCTCATTCCCTTGGGAAACAACTATAGGATGAGAATGGTGGAAATAATTCCATGAAGGGCAGGAGTAAGGTTAATCAAGGAGAATTCCCTGGGTGTTGATAAGCCAGGATCTACGAGGTGATAGGTCATTATGTATTGAAGTGAATATGGGTATTAATGGAAGGAGAAAATCATTGATGGGGTAGAGGAGTCTTGAATATTGAAATAAAGACTTTAGGATGATCCCAGTGTATCAGGAGTTAGAGTATCATAAGAATACAGAATGTTAGCCCTAGAAGGGACCTTAAAAGTTATTTCCCCTCCCCTCTTCACTTGAAAAATGAGGAATCCTTCCCAGAAAGCTTAAGGAACTTGCTAAAAGTCACATAAGTTATTAGGCTTTCTATTAAAACCTGGGTCTCCTTATTCCTTGGGACCTTTCTTCTATAATGTATTGGCTTTGTCACTCATCTGACTAGGAAGCTATTCTCCAGGACTTGGTAAAAGGCAGGTTGGGGTGGGGAATGACCCCCACAGTTCCTACTTAATACATTCCTATGTCTCCCCTCCCCAATTTGCTTAGATGCGGGGCTCTCGGTCAAGAGCATTGCCAGACCGAGCACTGGTGAACTGCCAATATAGCATGGCTACCTTCAGCACTGGGGAACGAAAGCGACGGCCACATGGGGACCGCAAGGCCTGTGAAATGGGACTCCAGCTGAGGCAAACCTTTGAGGCTGCCATCCTGACCCAGCTCTACCCTCGCTCCCAGATTGACATCTATGTCCAGGTAAAAGTGCAGATTTATATTGGGAGAATAGGTTGGAAGTAGTAGACCTTGGGTTAGATAAGGCAGGGTGGTATAAATCAGGTAGGTATTTAGGAAGGTCTCGGTCTTCTTGAGAGAGCCCTGAGTCAGCAGACGTGGTTTCTAATACCACTTCTGACCCTCCAAACCTTGGACAAGCTCCTTTTTTTTAAGCCTCAGTTTATTTATTTGTCAGATGGGGTGTTAAAGCCCTCTCATCTCCTTCACAGGGCTCCTTTGAGGATGAAACAAAGTAAATCCTGTGAAAGTAGTTAGCATAACAGAGTATCAGAACCAGGACATGGGACAGAAGAGGAAAGGGAGTCCAGAGATGGTGACGGCTTGCCCAGCATCCCATAGGCAGTTTAGTGGTAGAGCTAGACTTGACCTCAGGTCTCTTAACCCTTTGCTAGATATGGTCCCTGCCCCCATGAAGCTCAGTGGACTCTTTCTCCTCCACTGCCAAGAGGCTCTAGCTACTGGAGGGGATACCACAGGACAGATTTGCTTCTCATCCTCCCCCAGCCCCACTGCAGTGTGCATACCATCTGTGAGCCCAGACACTCTTATCAGGAGTATATATAGCATCAGAGGAGGAGACATCACCCTTGCTATGGTGGGGCTGCCTGGATAGAGTGTGGAAGTATTATTCTCACAAATAACCATAGTACGAGATAGGATGTGACTAGAGTTGTGAGTGTTGAAAGTGTCCTTTGGGATCTCAGATGGTGGCACTCACACCCTGTCCAAGATGAAGAGGGGATCACGGAAAACTTCCTGGAGGAAGTGACATCTGAACTGAGCCTGGGAGGATAGACAGGATTTCTTAAGTAAGATGGAAAGGACAGATAGGAACCAATTTGGGGAAGGGGGTGGGAGGTGGAGAGGGTAAAAAGGAAGGTACAGGATGAATAAGTCATTGAATCAGTAAGCTTTTTTTTTTTTTGGTGAGGCAATTGAGGTTAAGTGATTTACCCAGCAGTCACACAGCTAGTAAGTGTTATGTGTCTGAGGCAGGATTTGGACTCAGGTCCTCCTGACTTCAGGGCCGGTGCTCTATCCACTGTGCCACACAGCTGCCCCAACAAGCATTTATTAAGAGATTATGTGCTAGGTACAGTACCAGGGGCTAGAAAGTAAGAGAAAAATGAAACAGTCCCTGCCTTTAAGGAGCGTACATTTCTGTTGGGGGAAATGTTTCCACTGATGGATACAAACAAAATAAATATAAGGTGATTTTGGAAGGAAGACACTGGTAGCTGGAGGGAGAGGCTGGGGGTTAGGAGAGGATTCAGGATATGTCCAGGTGGAGGATGACTCCAATAGACAAAGGATAGGCTTTCTTCAATGCCTTGGATCAGGTACTCTGGGATTCACTTTTTTCCTTTTAAAATGAAGGAGCTTAAAAAAAAATGAATAAATAAAATAAAATGAAGGAATTAGATCAGAAAGACCCTTCTACTTCTAAATCCTTTTTCCATGTGACCTTAGGTGCTGCAGGCAGATGGTGGTAATTATGCAGCTTGTGTGAATGCAGCTACATTAGCCGTGTTGGACGCAGGGATCCCAATGAGAGATTTTGTGTGTGCCTGTTCGGCTGGCTTCGTGGATGGCACAGCCCTGGCTGACCTGAGCCATGTGGAGGAGGCAGCGGGTGGACCACAGGTGGCTCTGGCCCTGCTACCCGCCTCCGGCCAGCTTGCCCTGCTAGAGATGGATGCCCGGCTCCATGAAGACCACCTGCAGCAGGTACTAGAAGCAGCTTCCCAGGCTGCCCGAGATGTTCATGCCTTATTGGACCGAGTGGTCAGGCAGCATGTCCGAGAGGCTGCCCTGCTCCTTGGAGACTGACCCTGACCCTGTAATAAAGTCTTTCATTCTTTCCCTAATGAGGCCAGTACCTCCATTGCCTTCACTCTGCATTTCTGTCATCACAAGATCCTTTTCTCCACAGGGGCAACAGTCTTTCCTCCCTTCAGGGATGGTTGTTTGAGACCCCATAGGATAGATGGGCTCTATACATGGAAGCCTTCTAAGGGTAGCAGTACGTATTGAAGCAGTGTTTGAGATATAGGCATGGCCTTTCAATTTAATAAGTGTAGGAAGGTTTATAGGGGTCAGTGAAGCTTAAAAGGGGTCACCCCTTAGCCTACCACTTGACTTGTTGCTGTATTTAATGTGATCACACCCAGTGCTAAAGCAATCCAGGAGCATGGGTGAATAATTTCTTACTAATTCATAAAATGGATATCTCATTAATTAGCTCTGTTCCTACCCACTTCATTGAATGTCAATTGTTTAATGAACTGGAGAAACCTCCTTTCCCAGTGGTAATTACTCATTTTTCTGTATAGTGACCAAATATTAAAATTACTGAATTCACATAAGTCTTTAACTAAAACAGCAACTAATAGAAACATTTACAGTATTTTGACTCTAGAAAAATTCATAGCCAGGGTCACCTCAAACCCCTTGTATAAAAGTAAATGAGTCAGGGCAGCTAGGTGGTGCAGTGGATAGAGCACCGGCCCTGAATTCAGGAGGACCTGAGTTCAAATTCGGCTTCAGACCAAACACTTGACACTTACTAGCTGTGTGAGCCTGGGCAAGTCACTTAACCCCAATTGCCTAAAAAAAAAAAAAGTAAATGACTCATTCAGTTCCAGAAATACAGTATCAACATTCAGTTCACTCTAGATATGGGTTAAAATCTCTTAAGAATTTTCTTCCTATTTCTCTTCAAAATAAGAGCTAGAATCATTCATTCTCTTGGGAAATAAGCTAGAATCATCCTTTTTCTTTGCCCTCTATTTGGTAATCTTTCTAGACTATACTGTGTTTGCTGACTTCTCACAGATTCTTTGTAGAATTCTGTTTCTTTAGAACACCAAGTTTAAAATATTCTAACAAAAAAGAAATTTCTCCTCAGAGACTTCTCCACAGATTTCTTTATAGAGCAAAGATAAGATATATTCCCTGACTCTGTTAGGAGAAGCACCTTATAGAAGGATGTTTTTCAACAGACCTACCATCTGCTAGCACAAACTGCCTTTTCTCAATATTCCTTTGGCCTTTAAAGATACAGTAATGCTGTAGACTCGGAGGGAGAACCAAGTGAAAATGGGTGTGAAGTATCAATTAATGTATTTACTATATGCTCAGAGCAGGGCATATAAAGATGAAAATCAGTGCAGTACCTACCTTTAGAGTGCTTATGGTCTAATGGGGGGATATGACACATACACAAATAAGTATGATATAAGTGATAAGAAAAGTATAAGGGGAAAATGTATACAAGGTCCTTTGAGAAACTTGAGATTTTCAGCCAAGAGGGCTTCCTGAATGGTGGCAAACCACTCACCTCCCACATACCTAGTCTAGCAAAAACCTGAAATTCACACAATACTGAATAATGATCAAGAAATCCAATGAGAAACTACTGTAAGTGACTTCCCACCTGAGAACTACACAAACAAACAAAAAACAGAAGCCTGTTGGTGATAGGAAAGCCCCCTCTCACACAGCTCAGTATATCCTTCCACTCTCCCAGAGACAGTGAGAGATGGAATGCTCTCTGCCCAAAGGTAGGAAGAACAGAGTTGCCTTTCATCTCTCCCCCCTCTCCCAAGAAAGCCCTAGGGAGTGATAGTGATTACAGCAGCACAGTAGTGCTCAGAGCAGGACAGCACAGGCCTCTAAAGGCTCTGAGCCCATAGCACTCTTGTCCTGAGATATCATGTAGGACTCTGAAGACCCATTACTCTGAAACTCAAAGATCCAAGGAGGGCCTAGCCACAGAAGGTAGAGTTCAGTGGAGGAACCCAGGGGACCTAAGGTGAACCAAACAGCACAAAGTATTCCACCTCATAGCATGATGCAGAACTCAGCCCTGGCACAGAGCTTCAATTCAAGAACTAAAGCTGGAGAGATGAGTAAATCAAAGAAAACACCAATCACTACAAAAATTATTATAGATCTAGGGATCCCAAAAAGGAACAAGTAACTTCATAATAAGGTCAAGCAGTGTGTAAATGAAAATGGATATTCCACAAGGATTACATAAATACGTAAAAGATTAAAAGCTCTGGAGGAAAGAATTAAAAGAATGAATAGCTTAGAAGACAAAGTGGTGAACTTTATCCAAATAATGGGCTCCCAGAAAACTAGAACAGAGCAAACAAAATGACTCCATGTGACAGCAACAAATAATAGAACAAAATCAAAAGACTGAAAGAGTGGAAGAAAACATAACATCTATTAAAAACACTGACATGGGGGAAAGGTGAAGGAGAGAGACTTGAAGAATCATTGGATTCCCTGAAAACCATGATTTTTTTAAAATCCCCACTATATTTCAAGAAATCGTAAATGAAAAATGCCCAGATCTGTTAGAACCAAAGGGTAAAATGAAGATAGAAAGATTCACTGATCACCTCCAGAAAGGAATCCTAAAGGAGAAGTCCCAGGAATGTCATGACCAAAATCTAGAGCTTTTACATCAAAGGAAAAATATAGCAGGCATCCATTAAAAAAGAGTTCAAGTAACAAGGAACCACAGTCAGGATCACACGAGATCTGGAAACTTTTTACTAAAAATGAGAGGAGATCTTGGAATATGATACTGCAAAAAGCAAGAGATATGACCATACAACCAAGGATAATTTACTCTGTAAAGCTGAGCATAATCATAGGGCATGAAGAGGGTGGGCAGGGGAGTGGGAAGTGGACCATTAATGAAACAGAGTACTTTCAAGAATCTTTGAGAAAAACACCAGAGCTGAGAAGGAATTCTGAAATACAAATACGAAAGTCCAAGAAAACCTAGGAAGGTAAATTTATGTGAGCAATTGGAAGAGGCCAATTGATGATGTAGTGCTAACATTCTAATAGAGAAGAAACAAGAGCCCCTTCAGAACCTTTGTGTCTTTAAAGGATTTTGAGAGGTTTTAAGAAAAAACATCCTGAGGGGTGGATGGGTTCTGTTTGAGTTTAAAAAGGGGAAATAAAAAGAAGGGTTAAAAGGAATATACTAGTATAGAAAAGAGGAATAAGGGAGTGGAATTTGCTATTTCTCCTAATTGGGGTGAATAAGAAGAAAGAATATACAAAGAGAAGAAGGGAAGCAGGAGCAAGCATCAAATGAACCTCACTTATCTGAAGCAGACGAAGCAGGATTGGACACACGTCCTATACATGCAATATTTGATGTAGAAATATATCAAACTTAACGGAAAAAAAAAACCAAGGATAGGGAGAAAGACTTAAAAGGAAGGATGAAGTCATGGAGGCAATAGCTAGCTGTAAGCAAATTTCCTATTCTTGAGAAGGGGGGAGGAGGGAAACTAAAAGGGGAAATAAAAAGTAGACTTTTAAGGGGGTGTCTTAGATTGCCTCTGGGACAATTGAGGCATAGGTGAAAAAAGTTTATATGAATGTAATAGAATACTATTGTCCTGTGTAATATGAAAAGAGAAAATTTCAGAGATTCCTGGGTAGTATGAAACTGATGTAGAGGGAAGTGAAAAAAAAACCAAAACATCAATTTATTTTTAAAAAAAAAAGCAACTGTAAAGAAAAACGAATTTGAAAGACTTAAGAATTCTGGTCAATACCATGACCAACCATGACTCTAGAGGACCTACGATGAAACATATGATCTGCCCTCTGACAGAGATGTGATGAGCACAAAGTGCAAAAAAGAGACATGCGTTTTTGGACATGGTCACTATGTGGGTTCGTTTTGCTTGGCCATACTTATTGCAAGGAGTTGTCTTTCCTTTTTTTCTCTTGGTTTTTATTTGGAGGATAGAGTTAAAGATTAGCAATAGTGATGCCAAATTAAAAGAGCCATTGAAACTTTTTTTTTAAATGCACAGAAGAGAACAAAAGGAAGCATGGGCAAGAGGACAGTTTTGAAAATATTGTGGAATTTATTGTATGCCCTTTTTTTTTCAAGGATGAAATGGATATTAGTATTTTCATATTCAGTACTTATTTAATGTTATACTGTGTATATGGGAATGCTTTTTTTTGGTGTTTAGATTCATAAAAAATAAAAATTATTTTTTAAAAACAGTTGAATAAATAAATTGGTAAAAAATATGTGATGGTAGTAGCTAAATTATCTGTTACCAAGTTCGGGAAGTAGTAGTCCCCTTCTAAATTTCAGCACCTGAGCAAAAGTTCTACTTATCTGCCCTAGGTCTGGCTCTGAAAGTAAGATGCACATGATCAGTGAATAGCTAAAAGAATTTTACCCGGTAGCCAGAGTGAGTGGCTTTAGAGGTTCCTAAACTATCCTGATCAGTTAACATTTCTTCATTTTTATTTGACCTATATTAATTCCTGCTATGGTCCTGGAGCATCTTTGTTCTGCCTTACCTGAATAGATAATGGTATCCTTCTTCTTGGAACATATCCCTGCTGATCTGGGATTGATTAACCTAACCAGGCATTCTAGACAAAGTCCATTTATCTAGGTTGCAATTCCAGCCAAGTTCACCATGGAATCCTAGACAAATCATTAAACCTTTTAATTAAAGCAGCTTTTAGTTATACCTTCTGATTTAATCACTAACTGGGTAACACCATGCACTATCTTCAGGAGAGATCACATGATTCATGACAGGGAAAGATAGTATATTACAATGCCACAGAGACAGTCCTCAACCACCTCCAAGAAAAAAAGCTTGAAGAGAAAGAGATGGGTGGAAACTTTATGAAGGAAATAACATCTAAGTTGTGCCTTGGAGAAAGGCAGAGACTCCAACAAACATCTGAGTGCGTACTATGTGTGAGACTGGGAGAGATACAGAGGTGAAGGATGACCAGTTTCTCAAAGAGCTGACAGTCTAATAGGGGAGGAGGGAGATGTATGTAAGTAACTGAT